ATATATATATATACACCATATATCTATATATGATATATATCATATATGTGATGTATCTATATATCATATATATCATATATATCTATATATCATATATATCATATATATCTATATATCATATATATCATATATATCTATATATCATATATATCTATATATGTATATATCATATATGATGTATACATCGCATAGTATATAGATATATCTATATATGTTAGTGTGTTCACAGGCAAACAAGGTATATGTAGCCATTACTAAGTATGTGACCAGTAGAATTTCTTTGATATTAAGAAAATATCACAAGCAAAATTAAATATTGAGTAACGGTTTTGTTTTGCTTTGTACATATTTTAGAATTCTTCTGAGGCTCAATATAACTAATTTAGCTATTTTTTTCAGATAAGTAAATCTATTTAATCTCTACTTTTCATGCTTATGTTTGATGGGTTATTTTTATCATCTTTGCTCTGAGCGGTCATAGAAAGCATACACTGTAAAAATGTAGCTAATTTCACTTTCATATGAACACATACATAAAAAATATGAGAATGCAGAAAGACTCAAGAATTATACACTAGAGTTGAGTCATCATGGCTATGTTTCAAATTAGAATATATTTTAGGTTATGAAAATAGCCTTGTTTCAAAAGCATTTACATTTAGTAAGACTAACATTTATCAGGTAAAACAACTTACTACCAAAATGCCATAATATTAATTATACTGTGTTTTTGCCTAGGTCAGAAATATTAGTTGTGTATTTTATAAAATGTTGGCAGTATATACTGGGATACAGAGATGAGCATGAACCACACAAGAGAGCCAAATAGCACAACTGAGGATGGAATTAAAATGTATGGATTGTGACAACATCATCATCCTTAAAAATCAAATTGAGAAACTTCAATATCAATCTGCAGCTTGAGTAGTCTAGAGAAATATGGAAATGTACTTCTATGTAAATTTGCCCTCTTGCCAGATATTCATATTAAGTGGTCTTCATAAGCTGCATGTTGAAAAATCTATTTTCCTGAAAACCCCCTCCTCACTGTAACAACACCCCACGTTATCCCAGTGCTCTTAGTTCTCGAGTACTTCCCTTTTGGGCTCCTCACAATAGCTCTGATGGTGGGCCGACCATTTGGGTTTAATGGTCTCCACTCTTCAGACAAGAAAACCAAAGCTCAAAGCCAGAATACAGAGCTCTTCCGTGGGATCTTACAAATGGCTCTCATCTATCCAATAAGAGGGAAAATACATCTCAACTTTTCATCCAAACTATAGGATTTTGCAGATTATATAAGGAACTTCACAGCTCTCCACATGCTCAGCAATACAGCTGTGGCAGAAACTGGGGTAGGTGATAAACAACTTCATAGACACAGGGCTTCCTTCTAATACAGTGTTTGGCAATCATATCAAGGAAAAACAGAAAGTAGTAGAATCATCAGGATGAAGTTTTCTTCCTAATTATAAAATAAACTCCTGAAATAGACTTGTTTTTAGATTGGTCAATTTAATAACTTATTTAGCAGACAGTATAACCCAGCAACAATCTGCATGGAATAAAGGCACAGATACAAACAAGCACATGTATTATATATTATTTAGTGGAAAAAATAGTAAGTGCTTATGTGTCTTTCAATCTCTGAAGTACTCTAGTGAGGCTTCCTGTTTGCTTTAAATTGAGCATGAAGTCAAGGAAATGAGGGGAAGAAGATTAAAATAACTAAGAGCCATAGAATACAGGGGACACATATTCAGGTTTCTATTTATGCTATCAGCATTAATAAACAATGTCCAGGCTGAGCAGTATGTCTCCTAAACAGACTCACAGTACACTAAATGCTTTTTGGTTGATTTTTTTCCCCTGCAATAAAACAACAGTATTTAATTTGAATTAAATTCTGCATGCTACTATGCTGTTCATTTATGGAGAGTAAAACTAAGACTTCAATAAAACTATGTTTTCTCATTTATAAAGCCCCACTACATTTTCTATTTGAAAACGTAATACAGGGATCCCCAATCTCACACACATAAAATTTGGAAACACGTCTAACTATCTCAAATTCTGGTGTTTTTGTATTCCTAGACGCTGACTGAAATGTTTGCTCTATGCTTGAACTACATGAAGGACAAGGTGTTCTAAAAGTAGATGGCTCCACCCACTCAGAAAATCTTAATGCTGATTTCTTCACGTCTCTCCAAAAACCTTCCACTTTGAAACATATATAAGTTGAGTGTATCTAAGTAGCCAATATCCATCCAGACCCATAGTTGCATCTGCACATGACTATCTGTGCATGTGCTTTTTTAAAAGTAGCACAACACAGATTTAACACCTTCGAGTTCTTGATACTTAGACTTTACTTTCTCACAATTTTGAGAGTTGGGAAAAATGTAGAGGGATAAGAGGCAAGCCAGACATCAAACCCATTTATTCTTAACCTTAAATTATATTTTTTCATCAATATTTTGGTTACATTATTACACAAAAGACAAATCAACATCCTGTTTGAGGTCTCATCTTTGATTGCTTTGGGATTAGTGACATTTCCTTGGCACACAAATCCTGCACCCACCAATTCTCAGCTAATGACATCATTGTACAAGGTGTCAACACAAGAAAGGTTTGTAAAACCACTCCTGCGGTGCAGCAACTAATACCTGTAACCACAGTGACTTTCAGGTAGCTTCCCGCCAGGTGCACTTGGAAGAGTGTCAACACATCCTTCTCCTTGACAGATTCAAAAGAGATCCACAGGAAGAAGGACTGATCCTCTCGATCTTTTAAGCACCTATCTGTGCATCTACTCAGAGGTGGATGAAATAAAGTCTAACAACACCCCTGAGACTCACTCCTGGACAGTGTTTACAGGATTTGGTCATTACAGTTCCACTCTTAACTTATATGACAGGCCCACCCAGGAATGCCAAGTTTTTAAAAGATCCCCAAGTATAAATTAAATAAATCAATAAGTAAGTAAATAAATAAAAATCCAGGTTAAAAATTCTAATGGTGCATTTGAGAATCTCTTGAGAAGAAATAAGCAGAATCGTCCATTTCCACTGTTAACTTTGATAGATTGTTATTTTTTGGTTTGGCTTAGTCTCATCCTAAACAAAATATGCCAGTTTTTTGTTTTGTTTGATCTCATCCATGAACTCAATATACATTTTTTTTCCTCCAACCCCAGCATGAAAACTAATGTGGGAGGAGGGACAGCCAAGTGTGGTAAGAAAAAGAAAAAAAAATACAAAACAAAAGTGGCAGTCCAATCGTGCAAAATTTGCTTCCCTGGATAAAGTACTTCTTGACAGGTTCACAATGCCCAGGCCCCCTCCCCAGTGCCCCCATCCACCCAGGGGGAAAAAACAGAATGAAAGTGAAGCCATTCTTTTTCTTAAGGCTTTACAGACACACATAGAACACATGTCAAGGGCTGTCCGGCGGGTGGTTCTTTGCTGGGCTCTTGCTTTGAGTCCTGACTGCAGCTTGCAATCCATCCTGGAGTCAGCAGCACTTGTGCCATCAGGACAAGGATACAACATACAAACAAAAGAAGGGAAGTCAATGGTCCCAACAATAAAATCCGATATTGACTTTACAATCACGGTACAAATTGCTCAAATCGATAATTTCATTTCTCCTTAAGACCTTGTCTTCTAAAACTAATTAGAGGCCAGGTTCCCGAGGAATTGTCAATATTCAAAGAAAATACTGGCGCTTTAGAAAGAAATCATTCTTCTACAGCAACAGTCTGACGGAGGTTGGAGACAAGCTGTCCTATTCAGGCAACTTCAGGGTGTCATGAGGGGCAAATTCCTGGGTCCAGACTGCAACTTTCCCACTATCCAGAGGGCTCTGTGTCTATAGAGGAAAAACCAAGAAGCCCGAAAATGTGGAGTATTTCCAGCCGCCCATGAGGTTGCCCCTTTCCAGTTTGAGGTGCACTTTGTCTTCTCTTTCCATAAGTAACAGGACGCCATTGCTAGCTGCTTCTCTGGTAACATCCTGGTCTCCTGCAAACGCTGAGATCACTGGGTAGCCGTTCTGCATTAAACTGACCTACAAGGCAGAGGGAAAACTCAACAGACCATAGAGGAGCCCATTCCCCCAGACAGCTTGTTCTCTTTTTGTGCAACAAGCCCCTGTCTTTTCCTGGGAGACCATTCCCGTGGCCTGACAGACAGGACTTCCAACTGGTTCGGAGCCCAGCACTCCTGGAGAACCCTACAACCTGCTTTTGCAGCCTCCCAGAACAAGTGAATGGGCCCTCAGCAATGGGAAACTGCACTGAACTTAGAAAGGGTCCAGCTTCCAAAGCTACCCACCTGGATGGTTTGTCTGTTATACACTTTGACCACGTGGAAACTGAAGCTATAGATCCCCTTTCTTGGTGCTACAAATATGCTAGAAGCAAGATCAAAATGGTTGCCGATATTGACTAATACCTGAAAGAGAAGAGGGAATACAGCACTGACACAGCAAGCCCCACTTAGCCCAGGCTTTAATCACAGTCAGATAAACACCGATAACTGTTTGTTTGTTAGTGCCCAGCAGCCTGGATACCAACTCAGCACTCAGGACCAAAGCTAAACCATCTTATGGCAGGAGTGAATTACACAGGTGTTCTGAAAGATTCTAATTAGTGAGGATTTTTGAAAGTATATTTTATTTATGCATTCAAAAAGTGGATGGGAATTTGTATGTTGGAAAAGGTTGGGGAGGGGGGGTCAGAGCAGAGGGAAAGACCAGAGACGCAAAGTCAGGAAACAAACAGTAAATCTAGCCTGTTTCTGTGAGTCATGGGGACATCACCATGATGTTCTGTTTAACAAACACAGTTCTAAGCCTGAGAGAAAGGAGCATGGAGTAAGAATGAAATCACTTCTGTAAGATCATCCTAACTTCCTGTGCTCAAGGGGAGAATGGCCTCTGTGAGGTTTTTCTCTTCAGTGTATTCCAGCCTCTGGTTGCACACAATAGGTGCTCAATAATGGGTGCTGAGTGAAAGAGCTTTGCCAATAAACATTTGCTGCTTCTCTTTCTCCTCCTTTCCCCTGAGCTGTGGATTTGCTCCCTTGGCTGGGCTATGGTGTCATGAAAATACTCGAATAAATAAAGAGGACTGAAATGGTAGCATGGACACCCTTAGCTCAAACTAGGGAAATTCCACAGCATGCAAGATTAATGATAGAATTCATCACCTGAGAGGCGATCACATGACCTGCTCTTGGCTTTCCTCACATAAAGGGAGATGAGAATTACAACAACACAGCAGAACTGAAAGAATGGCAAGTTCTCCATCATTGCCCAATTTTCTTTTAGATGTTGAATACAGAATCTGGCCAGTTTGCCTAGATCCTGTCTTTGATCCTGTCCATGCACAAAGGACAACTCAGTTAAAATAATAAAATGGCTTACTAATGGTCTTGGCTTTTAACATCAAAATTCTGGATCTCTGATCTTGTCATGTAATCAGACAAATAAACCTTAATTTAAATACCTTTGCTGCTATTTCTTACACACTCACTGTGGATGAATACCATGCAACTCCCAAAGCACTGGGAGACACTGCCAGTAACAACAGCAGGCATAACTCAGGGAACACATAGGTGTCAGAAACTGATCAGCTGTAAGCATCACTTCAGCCCATTCAAGGGCAGGTGTCTCAGATACACACTCTGTGCTCCATTGTTGAGGACAAAGCACTTCAAATGGCAGTTCTCATACTCCCCAATGCCATATGCTCGCTCTGTCTTCCTCCCAACGTTTCAGAAAAGAAATAAGCGTTCTCCACTTATATCCTTGGAGATACTTCTTCCTTTCCCCTTCACTCCTTAGCCTCAGTTTTAAGCTCTGGAAACTGGTAAGTTCAAGGTCTTGTTGCAGATGAAAGGATACCCCTTCAAAAAATGGGGTTCACTTACTCCCTACATGGAACCAGGTAAACAGTTTATCCCACCCTGCTGTAGTCAGCTTCTGTAAATCAGAATCCAATATTGCATCCTGGTTTTCTGATATCCAAATGAAATGATGGATGTGAAAATGCTATGGAAACTGTGAAAGATAATGGTAGGTGAAAAATAATAATATTGTAATAATAGCACATAAAGAAAAACTTATTAATAGGCTGCAGTTCATGCCTACTTCATTGTTCTCTTCCATTATTGGGAAATAATGCCTTCTAAATAAAAAACATAATTGCAGAAAAGACACACAAAACTCCTCCGATAGGAGACTCTTAACAACGATTCTTAAAAAATGAATACATTGGCCTAAAAAGAAGCAAAGATGTGTGTGTCAATCTATGAAAACTGAGGTTTATGACATGGTTTAGGCGAAGCAAGGATGCTAAGGCCAGCAATGTTCAGTGCTCCATTTTGGCAAAAAGATTAGCTGATTACTTAAACTTTAGAAACTACTATCATCCTTTGGATTTGTTTCTGAAAAATAATAGAAATCAAAGGCGGGGGGAGAGTGGAAGCACACAAAGAGGTCATATCCTTTGACCCTGAGCTCAGTAACCCAAACAAGGAATTGCCAACATCGGACCATGACTCTGGAACTTCACAGAAGTTAGGTGGCAGAAGTTAAGTGGCTTACAGCAATTTAAGTCATTGCTCTTTGTTTTGTTATTTATACACTACAGTATACATTCATACCTTGTAAATACTGCATGAGCATATTGTGTGTATTTCAATTATTAAACATTGTATGCACATGGCAAGTTCATTTTAATATGTATATAACCATCCCTTCCATTTTCACCACACCCTTCCTCAGTTATTTTTCTTGAAAACAAACATGCTTTTTTCTAGTCCATCCCATAAAATAAGCAATAGGTACATATTTTCAGTGCTTGGGTTGAGTCCTTTGGAGTCCCCCCCCACAAAAAAAACCCTCTTTTTTAACGTGGAGCGCTAAGTTGGCCACCTGGGTGACTGAAGTTCTTCAAGCACAAATCTTCCAGTACCCCCATTGAAAATTAAAACCTACAACTTTCCTTTTGAGAAATATATTTCAAACCTCACTTTCAGGACCCTCAGAAAGCTTAAAGGGCTTTCAGGGGCTCTCAGTAATCCAAGTGTCATGAAAGCAGGCAATTTAAAAATAAATGCGCTGCGATGTGGAAGAGGGGAACGGGAACAGCAAGACAGCATCATAGAAGGAGAAAGGCCAGCAAAAGGGAAAGCCGAGGAGATAAACCCCCTGGACCTGCACGTGGCAGAAGCTGGGAACCCAGTCCCGCCCTCTCCTCCCCGGGCGGGATGGGCAGGGTGGCTGGCTGACCTGGTCGAAGTAGATGGTCATGGTTCGGTTGCTCATCTCCGACGGTTCATGGTTGGTGCTCCGCGTGGCGGAGAAGGCCACCTTGGCACTGCCGGAGCGCACGGAGATGCCTAGGGAGGAGGTGACCGCGCCGTCCGCCGACGGGCTGGAGTCGCACACCACCAGGCACTTGCCCTCCAGTACGATGGGCTCCGTGTCGTTCTGTGCCCGCACCGGGCAGCAGACGGGCAGCAGCAGCAGCAGGGCCAGCGCCGCCCCCAGGCAGGAGCCGCAGTCGGCCGGCTCGCGCAGCGCCCCCCGGCGCCCGGGCATGGTCAGCGACGGCCCGCGGGGGGCCCGGCCCGGCGCCCACATCTGAGCCGGGGTCTGGGGTCGGTGCTCGGGAGCGGGAGGGGTACCGAGGGGCTCGTGGGGACGCGCGGGGCTGGGAGTAGTCTCTGGCCTAGGTCCTCGGCTCTGAAGGTCAAGGCCAGGGAGGTTCTCAGAAGGAAGGCGCCAGCGGACCTGTCAGAGCAAAGAACCCAAATCCTTAGGACAGGAGAAGAAGTAGGGGGAGGGGCAGCGGGGAGCTGGTAGCTGCACTCTCCGGACACCACCCTGAAGGCCATCCCTTTGCTCCCCGCTTTGCCACCCCCAGCCCTGATTTGGCCCAACAGGTCTGGATGCCCCGCGCACCAAGCAGAGCATCCCCGGAGGGTCCTGAGCCGCGCGCTCGGGGGATGAATGGGGTTAGGGGCCCGTGACTCTGCAGGACCTCATCACTGAGACACGGTCGGGGACACTCGAGACTCCCTGCTCACTCAGGCAAAGGCGGGAGGGGGGTTACAATGCAGGCAAGGAGAAAAAAATATGAGGCTTTATCGACTTCATTTCAAACGTTATTTTCTTGAAAGCCACACCAAGAAACCTTTCTTCTTTGCCATCCCTTTCACCCTCTTTTTTTTTTTTCATCCCGGAACTATTTTTTTGGCAGTCCATTTCGTAAATCTTTTAAAAAAAGGTATCTTCCACTCAGTGCACAAACCCCAGGAAGCTTGTTAGGGTGAGTGAGATTACGAGGAGGAAAAAGGAAAGAGATTGCGAGAGTCACGGGGGAGGGGTCGCTAAAGCCACCCACTTTCCAACATCCCCTCAGCTACTAGCCAGTCCCCTTAGACAAACCCCTCGGATTCCTCTCTCTGGCAAAAGACTGGAACCCCAGTCTTGGGCTATTTTCCAGGGTCTGTTTATGGACTCTGGTCCTCCCTTCCCCTACTGGGTGGCAATCTCTGTAGGTTTCTGCTAACTTAGACGCTGGTTGGCACTTGTGCCCCTTCCCCTCTTCTCCCACTAAACCGCCCAGGTCATCCCAAAGTCCAGCCCAGAAACAAAAAGCACAGAAGCCTCCTCAGCGCCCACAGTCTCCCAACAACTCTTCCAATAGCCTTTCTAAGAAGAGTTGTTTCTCAATAAATATCCTGTCTTCACCCCGGTTCAAGATGATTGAGATACGGTTCCCTCCCCACTCCTCACTTGCGCGCTCTCTCGGCCCCCAGTACAAAGACTCCTGGTGGTCCTCCTTAAAATACATGCAAGAAGGCAATTATCCTGGAGCCTAGGGTCGGGTTTGCCTACCTGGAACATCCATGATCGGCGAGCACTGCCGTCCGCGAAGTTGTTCTGCTTAGAGAAAATGAGGCGAGCGGGAGCTGGAGGGAGGACTCGGAGCGCGACCCTTCTCCCAGCGCGTGGCCAATAACCGCGCCGCCCCGCCCTGCCGCTTTCCCGCGCCTGCCGGCCCACTCCTGCTCCTGCTGCGGGTGCGCACCACGCCCCGGCTCCCGCGCGCCCAGCGCCCCGCACCGCGCGCCTCGCGCCCCGCTCGGCTCCCGGCAAACCCACACGTTTCGCGCCTGGCACTGAGCCGGCACCAAACACGAAGCCGCACCACGCGCAGCCCGGGGACCCTCGGGGTCCCTTCAGCTCCTGCGCCCTGCGCGCGCGCAGCGAGGCTGTCCGGCCGGGCCCTGAGTCCCGGCTTTTTTTTTTTTACCTCCAGTTTCCAGCGGGCACAGCCCAACGCTGCCCACGCCCTAAGGACTCCGCCAGCTTCGTCACCCCCCTCTATGCAACCCCGCCGCATTCTGCACCTCCCGGGTTCGGCTCTCACCCAAACACCCAGAAAGAGCGAAATCCTCCTGGGTGCCTTTTAAAACTAGGCACCCTCAGAACCACCAGTGCTGTCTCTTCTTTTTAGTTTCTCTTTTCTTTTCCAAATTCCCACCAAGTCTTAATCTTGAATAGCGTGACCACTTTCATAACGAGGAAGGAAAAACACTTTAAAAAAAGGAAAAAAGAAAAAGAAGAATGGGACGGAGCGAGAAAGCGGAGGAATTTGATGGTTTCAGGGCTGTGGTTCCAGAGTCTCCAGTTTGAGAAACGTCAGGTTCTGGCAGGGATTAAAGCGATGCCTCCTGCCTGGGTTTATGTGTCTGCTCCTCTGAACCTCGGGGCTAGCGGAGCGCTTTGGCACCGAGCTTATTTATTAAAACGCCGGCTCTGGGCTCTAATGACCTGGGGAGACGCGCGGGGTTCCGAGCGGAGCCTGGAGCGCGGGCGAGACGCGCAAGCACGGACGCGTGGCGCCACCTAGGGTCGATGGTGCCTTCCTGCCTCAGGCTGCGGACCAGAGACTGGCAGAAGTGTGTGGGAGTCCCTAGGGACAAGAATGAGGTTTGCCGAGAGATTGTCTTTTTTCACCCCCTCAAAAGCAGAAGTGGCCTCTGCAGAAAAACAAGAACAATAATTACCGGTCTTTCAATACCTCTTCCCCTGATGAGATGAAGCAGCACGCTTGATTTTTCAGATCTTTACCGCTCTAACAAACAACTCTGCCTAGACGCTATGTGCCGCAGTGAGGATGTCATCCGTTACTATTGGCAGCACAACGTTTGCAAGAGCCACTGAGCTCTGTAGTCTGTACCGTATTGTCTTGAGGAAAGACAATAAAGTGTTTAAATGTGCACTCTATAATCTGATTTTTAAAAGCACCGTTTAAAAATATTTTGCTTATCGACTTGCTTATTAATCCGTTTCTGATAGGCTGATCAAAAACAAATCTAAGCTGGCAATGTAGCTCATTAGCCCAGAGTGCATGCATTTCTTACAGCGCCAGACTTCACACTTAACCCTCTCTCCTTTGCAGATTTCAATAATGTTCTGGTTCCACCTTAGGAAAGACGTCCTGTCAGGTAAGGGATTTTGAAGTTCCTTTTTATTGGCGTTCTCGCGGCTATTGTCCTCATTTAGAACAGAGCTGTAACGCCTAACACTGGAGATGCACGTCCACTCAGTTCAACCGGAATGAAGGTGTCGAAGGTTAGGGCAAAGGGAACTGGCATTGCACATGGTTAGGTCAGAGATGTTTCTAGGAGTGAGGAAGAGTTAAAAGAGCCCAGAGTCAAAATGCATTCTGTTTAACATAGCATGCAAAACATTGCAAACTATAAAATAACTCCCAAATCCATCACTCTGCTCAACTGTTTTTGCTGAAAATTAGTACTGTATTTCAACATCTTTGTAACATGATGGCCTGTGTACTGGACTTTGCAGGGAAGCTTGTTCAGGGCTACCTTGGATTGCCATGTTTTACTGCAGTTTTTGTGAGTTTAACATAGTGGAAATAGTGCGTTCTTACTTCCAATTACTTCATCCTAATATTGCATCAGTTCGATAGTCTTTTAATGTCAGAATAATTTTAATTCTATCGTGCCATCATAGAGTACTGGTTTGGATGCAAGCTTAAAACACAGATGATATTAGACCCACAAAAGGAATGTGAGCAAAGACCAATTACTAGAGCAATTCCGGTATGCTAATTAGTAGTGATATCTTTTAGACATGTAAAAGTCTTTAAGTAATACCGCTGTTAAGCAGCTTTCTTAAACAAATTTCTCAAATTAATTTCTTAAATAAATTTCTTTTGACCCATATAAAGGCAAACATATATGTGCTAAATCATTATCATAACCTTTGGAATTAAGACAAACTTTTCTATTCGGCAGTGAAAATGTTTAAACAATACTAAAGGAAACCTTTCATCTAAATAACGGTCTAGATTATGGGAACAGAATGAAAACAGCATGTATTCTTATATAAAAAAGACACAGGCTAGGTTTGAATTTAAGCTTGAGGTTATTTTTGGAAAGGTGTTAGTAATGGTGAAATAAACCAGACTAACAGAGAAGTGGATTATATTCACTGAATAATTGGCTGCTCTACCTATTAGAGGGTGTTTGGTCAAGTGTTAGAAGTTTTTATTGTAAGCATGCTTTGACAGTTTTCAGAATATAACTAAGAATTAAAAGAAAATACTTTCTAGTTATCTCAGGGGTTACTTTCCTGTCCCATTTCCATGTGATGAGTAATTGTTGCTAGTGCTGCTAGAACATTTGTAGCATGTTCTATTCTCTTAAGTGTAGAGATTTCCCCATAAACAGTAATGCTAACAATGCCGGCCGTTAGTTGCACACTGGGATGAGTCAGATAGAATTGCACCATGTCCTTTACCCAGGATACAACATGCAGCTTAACACCCATGATCACCAATGTGGTAAAGACAGATGGACATGCAGAACTGATGGAGGAAGCATTCTAATGTTTAAAAAACAGTGGGAGAGAAGAAGCTGGATAATTCAATTCCTCCTCCTTCCATTTGTCCAAAATATCTATCTCAGAGAGTTTAAATTTGTTTTCTTTTCCTAGAACTCATTCCTGAAATTCATCTTCAGCATGCGTTATGTCTGTTCTTGATTTTTAAACTACCTAATACATCCTATTTGTGATTTCATTGTATTTGACTGTTACATATTATCTATCATATATTCCATATGCTTGGATATTAAAGACATAAATGTTCTTTTACAAATGAGCATATGCATTAGTAAATAAAATAATTTCGAAAATTATTGGTAAATGTATTTTCAGTGTGTTGTAACCCTATCCTAGAGAGTTACTACCATATGGAATATACATAGTAATTCTAAATATTATGTACTCTGCAGTTACTTATAATTGACAAATTGTTTATGTGTCTTTATAGTTCTCAGTGATAAAAACACTATCAAAGTGTAGTGTATAACAGCAACAAATTACTATATTACAGGTATAAGTACTCAGGCATATATAGATACTTTTAGCTAATGAATTAATATCATAAGTAAAATTTTTTAAAAATTGGGATCAGTTCTGAATCAGTCACTGCTCAATAGAAAACAAAGAAATGTTTGTTTATGAGACTAACTGGTTTATATTTATTGATGAAATCAGTAAACATATTGTCCTGGTAAAATTAGATAAAAATTTGTTGACTCAGTTAAAACTCCAGACTTACTGCATTTAGGTCAATTCCAACAGTTTTCATCTGATAGTCCTATTCAAAAATATGGAGGTACCAGCTATTTTAATGGCACACATTTTAACATTCCATAAAAATTCTTTAAAAATGATTTTTTAAGTTTTGCTTTTATTAGCAATGTGACAAAATGTAAAGCAACCTGGGACCACAATGTGATACTTCTTCAGTATTGTAAAATGAGCATGCTTTATTATAAAATGACACTTTTAAAATTATTTTAGAGTGACTTTAAATTTTGGGGGGTTGTAATAGACTTTGAACTCAGTGCTTCCTGCTGAACAGGCACATTGCCTCTTTAGCCACACCTCTGGCCCTTTCTTCTCTGGCTCTTTTGGCAATAGCCAAAGCGGGCCTGGACTCAGAGCCTCCTATTTCATGTTTCCCACCATTGGTGGGATGACAGGGGAATGCCATCACCCCTGACCTTTTCCATTGAGATGAGGTCCCACAAACATTTTTGCCTGGCCTGTCCTGGAACAGTGATCCTCCACATCTCAGACTCCCAAGTATCTAGGTTTATGGGTGTGAGCCTCTGGCACCTGGCTTACAGTACATTTTGATCTTTTGTTTTTTAAATGTCTGGTCAGTATCTATTTTGCAGTAAATACTAAGATTTTGCAAATATACAATGTAAACTGTTTGTTGTTCCAATGCTCCCTGCTACTTAATTCTTAACATTGCATATCTTAAAATTTATATACAAGAAAAATTTACATACATGGAAAATTAATATCTTCATGGATTTCTACTATTTGAAGTATGGTACGCCAGCAGGCACAGAAACATTTGTTAGAACAGAAAGAATGCATCTTTATACTCTTGATTTATGTGGGACATTAGTCCTATTTAATCCTGCTATTTAGTTTCTACTGATTTACCATATTGGGTCAAGTGCCTAATGTCAGTCATTTCAATCTCCTCAAAATAAAAGAATGTAACAAGGAAAACATTTGCAAACTCTTACTTATCACTAAGATACAGTTATTGCTAATGAAGCATCCGTCTGCAAATTGTTTCTTATAAATAAATTCTGTTAGTCTAGAAAATAGTAGAAAATCATTAATATGTAGCAAAAGCATTTCCTAAATTTTTACTAGTATCATTTTTCTTTTAATGAATGTGTTTTTTCTTTTAATGTAATTCTGTAGTTTACTTTTATTGAATGAGCTACAGGTATGTATTCTGAATATCCAGAATAATTTGAATGCATTTAATATACATAAATCATATGTCATATCCAGAAACTAATTTCAAAATCAGAAAATGTATAATCAAAAGAAA